AAAACTTTATTGACATAGGATTATAGAATCTCTTGATGAAATCTGAGAACTATACAGTGAATATTTCATGTACAAAGTGTCAATCGATTATCTCATACTTCATTGTTCCTTCGTTTCCATACTAATCGCTTTCTACTCTCGTACTCTTCTCTTTTAATTTGTTTTAACCTTCTACCTTCAGACACTCCACTTTCGATTGATGATACATACAACTTATATCTATCGATATCAGTATCACACACCATAGTATTATCAGAGTAGAGGAATTCCGTAGAATATGAAGGGGTAGTAAAATCAGTTTGTTAGACGTATCAATATACTGTCTATTAGCTTTAAAGTATTTGACAACTATACACAAAAATCAATAATTCGTTAAAGATCTTTATAGTTAGACTATCATTGAAAATTTGAGATTCATCAATAATGCCCATTGATGATCCTGCACGTGGGATTAGATACCAGGATCTTCGATTTCGTGTGCGAACACTTAACTTATGAATAACTGAGTTGGTCAGAATCCAACTGTGATAATGTGTGACTACGATCAATCCATGGAACTGCGCTACCTTCCATCATCTAAAGAAAATTAATACCACCCAGTGTGAAAAAATTGTCAATGAGAAAAATAATCTACTTTGTCTTATTAATCTTAATTGTCAACGTTTTATTACTTACAAGTTGTTAGTAGTTTATTTATTGTATTCAAAGATGAGTATTGATTCATGTAAATCCAAGCATCTGAATACATTTCAATATGAACTGGGTTTGGTTCAACTTCAAGCTGGCAATAATCCAATGAATTCAACATCAACTTTCATCTGATACCAAGTTGTTTCAATAATGTTTGTCATCAATAATCAAGTTACACAGTTGAAGTAGAAGTGAATTTATTGATCTGATTAGTGAAATCCATTTAGTAACAGTCGAATTCTCAGAATGTGGTTTTCCATGGTGATCTAGCTTTAATTGATCCATAAAATCAACTATTAAAAATTTCTGCAGTACCGTAGAAACCCCATTTGAACAATAATCATCATGTGTTCACTTGTGACTGACTTCGTGAGGTATTTCCTGAAGTTCTATTGAGAATCCGTGGTCAGTGTAGTTTAACCGTATATGTCATTGAGGCAGCAGCTCAGTGAAAACAATGGTGGATTGTTCATTCTAATTGATTTGTAACTATATCGTAGCACTCAATGTTTTTTCCACATCTTAATCATTTGGAAAATAGTTAAGCATGTATATGACCCACTCTAATCTATATTGCTTGTTCAGGTTTTAAAATATGAAGGATTTGTGTATCGTCCATCTAGTAATTCATTTTTTCCGCAACCTTCAGTTATCCACATGGATCGATTTTAGAGAAACTATGCCGTCGATTCTCACCTCTATATATTGTTGCCTGAACACTTTGTTTAATTTGTATAATGTAATTCTCCTATCAGTCACAACTATTTATTTGGTATATGATGGTTGGTTTGCCTCCAGTTGTTCTTGTGTTCTTTAGATTATACGGTATAGATTGTAAAGATTTCTTTGGTTCTGTGCGCAAACACCTAGTCGTGGAGGACACAAATAATTCATTTTTGTGATTTCGAAGGTGTTGTTCACGTGGAATAGGATAATGAATCCATTCAGTATATTTTATGTTAATTTAGTGTTTACTGATCAGTTTGATAAGCATTGGCTGATGAAGTGTTAGAGTGTGTCTTGGTTTTCAATGTCCTGGGTATTTTTCTTGCGTTTTTGAATAAAATGACAATGCCACTACATGACATCATAATTTCAAGTAGCATGGATCGAATGTATTATTGTCACTTGACAAAACCATGAATCAAAATCCAGACACTATTGACCTGAACCTAGTCATTTATATGTACAAGAAGCGGTAGTTACCATGATTCAAATCCTTAATAAATCACAATTCAGTAGATTTGTAACAGCTTAGGTTGGTTGGTTAAGAGTTGACCCCAAATAACCAAGCATATGCCAAAACAGTATTGTTCAAGTATTCATTCACTTCCTTATTTTGTATAAGCGTTATATTCCCTATTATCTTATATTGAATGTTCAGAGCCTTTGTTTGTCTGAACAGATAATCTCACGCTCCACTGTGACTGCGCGAAGATCGAAATAAAGACCTATTCACTACTTGTCTGGTTTCTTCTATCAATAGCGCGAGGGTTACCTTAAGGCACGAAAGATTCACACCTTCTCCTTTCTCTCAATTTGAGAAGTCAGTAACAAGCCTTAACTAACAATGTCTTACGAAAGCAGACGTAATTTGCAAACAGACATATCAGGCCATATCAAATTATAAAATAAAAAATATACATGAATAAGTTGGAAGGTGGTTATGATTGGAGTAGGCCGTAAATAATAGGCTGAAAAGTGATTACCGTATGATGAATCGGATAACAATATTGAGTGGGTTATTCGAAAGATCATGTTGAATGAAGTCATTCTCTATATGTATCTATATAATCTTGACACTTAATAAGTATACAATAGAGTTATAGTCGATAGACAGTCGAAGAAATGAGCTTCCGTTCTGTTAACGCTTTGCATTCGATTATCACAAACAATCAAATTGAGCAAAGGAATCCACGATTTATTATCGTAAATAAGGAGAGACGATGCCTAACCGCCATTCATTTATGTGTATTCAAATCCAAAAGAGTGGATATCGAGATGTTTTAGGTTGAGTTACGCTTTCACTATTGATAAAACAATATTCAGTTTACATCTCATCTAAGAATCTATCTACTCTATATGTGTACATAGATGTCAGTTATTTGCAATGATATCTCCTCGAAACATCCATACACTTTGTCATTGTAAACTGATACATCTTTTCTCTATACCTTTGAACAGTGTGATAGATGAAAAGTCACATTACATCACAGGGTTGAGTAATGATAGAAATATTAATGATCATTTGTGCATTCTTTGGAATTTCATCAGAATAATATTGATCCCTCTGTCATATGTTGAAAGTATCGATTGAACACAAATCTTAGTTGATTTCGTGACCACGAAATTCAGAAACTGTGTTTCATACACATAATTCCCTGTGCAGGTCATCCATGTCATGTGTGATGCTATTGCTCATCGGAAACAATAGAGCATGGTCGTAAAATGTTGTTGAGGAATCCCATTGATGGAGTGAACAGACGTTCACTGCTTCCAGTTTTTCATTGTTCAACTAACTTTTTCGATTCATCACCTCAAGTAGTCATAATACCTGCAATATAAATAGAATTAGTAATGGTGGAAGTAAATGATAATTAGGAATTTTTGAATTATAGTATGAACTAAGATTCTCACAAACAACGCAATTAATAAAAGAAGTACTTGACAAGCACGAACGACTGTGATGTATTTGGAATACGAATGAAGCAAGCAATCAAGTACAAAAAGAATCCTTAGTTCACACAAACAGCACAAAGGAGTAAAAATAAAGGTAGTATAGCGTATGATTAAAGTGTGTGTGTTTTACTTCTATGAACAGAAGAATATAGTATTGTTCAAGAATTGAAAGTAGAATTCAGACCGATAATAGCTGAAAAAAGAGAAAAGAGAGAGAAGATAAAACGGTTAGCAACTAAAATATGAACGGAAATGGAGGGATGATGGTGTTTGTGAAAAACAGTTGAAGAAAGTAATTTAAATTATTTACATCATGTACTTTTTACACATTTCAGTTATGCAGTATGTGTATTGGCATAACTTAATAAATCTGTTTACTATTACCTACTCTCTATATTAATAACAGATGTAGTATTGGTAGTGTTGATAGTGATAGATTGTCCGGTAGTTGTTAATGTGATGCAGATAGTATAATGCGTAGTCTCACCTTCACTGTACCTTTTACTTCCAGAAACCCATCTCGTCGTATATGAGTGATAACTATTTCGACCCCACGTCCCAATATTTACTATTTAAAATAATAATAATAAAACAACAACAGGATTTTTCAGCTACCTATAATATTGTAATAAGTATTCTAAAAACATCTGTATAGAATAGTAAGCTATTTCGTTAAGAAAATACAAATAAAGAAAATCCATTAATGAAATGACTTCAGAAAGACAGTAGAGAACCGAAACAGATCATTGTTTTCTTAATAACGGTTTAGCCAACAATCTACGAACGGTATTTGTTTTTGCTCCCTATTGCCCTTGTACGGTCAAGAGTGGGTAGAGTCCGCTCTCCCATTCGAAATACTATCACATGAACATGTGTATACAACCACTGACAGTGAAGTCTTACTCATTACCTTCTCGTAGCATTACTGTTATTTACTAAATTGTGAAGGCGAAAAGCAACCTCGAGAATGGGAAACTATAGTATTCTAATTATAGTATGAATTAGGAATTCCAGGATTAACGCAATTGAATTAAGAAGACACAGGCACAACGAATGTACTGTATTTAGAATTCGAAATCGAGCATTCAACCAGTACAAAAGAATCATTAGTTAATTCAAACACCACATCCGCCACAGCTTAAATAGAAGTATAAGTGTTTGTAATCGGTTGTACGTCTTCTTGTTAAGTTCATCCTGAGTCTGTCCGACATTGTATAAGATAAAAACTTTGTAGTATCTAGAAAGTGCTCATTAGTATTGGAATTAACAAACGAAATCGGAACAGCCTCACCTGGAATTGTATACAACCAGCATGTCGGTTTTGTAATGAAATCATTAATATCTAGAATTCGAACCATAGATTTTTCAACACTATCCCCCCCCCCCACGAAATAATGTTGGATCTTTATACTCCCAAGTTATGAATAATATGGCTTCATTTAAAACATATATCTCACATTGTTTAGAGTAAACATTAGAACTGTTTTTGTGATAAGAGTAAACAGCAGTTGATATGAAATCATCCGAAATATAATAAAACTCGAGGTCACTTAGTACTCGTGCTTCGCATTGGGCAGGTTTTTCACGAAGATCAAATACATCATGAGGATAGGTAATATATGATGTGACATCAGGATTCGATTCTTCTGAAATATTCTCATGAAATTCATCAGGACTGTCATTGCAGAGCGTAGGATCGTTAGAAAAATCAGCATCTATCCAAACCACATCAGGTTTTCGATCATGATTAGGTTCATTTAACATATTTTCCTCAGAATTGCAAGTAATTTCATTAGAAATATGTGAATCATTAGGAAAAGTCATACTTGGTACAATAGCATGAGAATTCTGATAAATCGGTTGATTAGGAACTGTTGTCTCACAAGAATTCTGGATTTCACTTAACTCTGAACTGCCATATGACTCTGCACTGTCTTTTGAAATCGTTGATAAAGATAAATGATCATCATGAATACTCGACTCAGTAGAATCAGAATTACAAGACTTAATATTAATTGCAGTAAGATGAACATTAGCATTACAAAATGACTGAACTTGTCCAATATCACGACATTTGAAGCATTTAGAATTATGAAATTTACATGAATTAGAAGAGTGGAACTTGCAACAGGACAAACACCGACCAAACTTGTCCCCATCCTCGTGAACTCCATCCAAATTCAATGAATTGTCTGCATAACCTTGAGTATGCACTAGGTTGAGATGACGTAGTACTGTAGTGGACTTTTTTATATCCTCATGAATCATTTTACGAAATCTTCCTCCTTTACGACATTTGAAATTTGTATACTGAGCATAGTCTAGCAGTAGATCCTTGAGAGCTGTATAAGAAAGCGAAATGGGTTTTTCCGGCATAGCCAGAGTTCTTAATAAGCTGTATGCTTCTTTTCCAATGAATGTGAGGAAGTGTGCCACAATATTAACATCCTCATCATCTTCCTTGGTCATAGCCCAGATTTCGAACCTTTCAAAGTAATCTTCAAAAGCTTCTGAAGTTGAATGAATATCTAACTTTTCCATTGCAGGCTCCATCGCGACGCCAATATAGTATTCTAATTATAGTATGAATTAGGAATTCCAGGATTAACGCAATTGAATTAAGAAGACACAGGCACAACGAATGTACTGTATTTAGAATTCGAAATCGAGCATTCAACCAGTACAAAAGAATCATTAGTTAATTCAAACACCACAGAAACGTTATCTCTCGCTCTACAAATGCTCTCACATAGTCATGCGTAGACAGACACTACCAGAGAAATCCTACTGTCCGTTTTCTCGTAGCATTATTGTTGTTTACAAAATTGACATAAGTAGTATGTATCACTAATCGAAAGTGGAATGTCTGGTGACAGAAAATTGAGAAAATCGAAAATAAGAGGACGAGAATGGAATACATACTACTAATCCCTCATTCAGACTATTAACCTCATTCATTGTTACTACCATTAAAACACAATTATTACATAATGTACATCAATCAATTACCTACTGACAAACCCTATAATGTGAACTTAAATTACTATCCTATTCATATCTATGATTAGAAAAGTAAGTGTATGATGATTCCCAGGGTTGTTTCACGATGTAACTCATAATCATTCCACTTTTAATGGAACGAATCAAACTTCCACAATGTTAGATCTTCCGAAGCGTCCAAGTCACCCGATTAAGATACGCGCAAAACCAAAGTTTCCCAAACAACAATTTGTCTACAATAGCAATTCTCTATTGAATAATACACAAAATTTAGTTACAAACCTCATACTGTGAGGTGTCTGTGGCGTTTAAACACTTTCTTCAAGTATGATAATAAAAAAGCTCCCTGTGACAGTAACATAAAGAATAATTACAAAATACGACAGTAAAAAACACGGTTGATACCTGTGTTTCATAACAGTTTATGAACAGTGGAAACCCGAACCAAGAGCAAAACCTCATGGAAACTGTTAATAATAATAATAATATATTTCCGCACTTGCAGGTACACACCGTTTTTACAGGCATGATCTATAAATTACAACATTTGTTGGTTCACAAAATGTTTCCCAACTTATTAAGTTTATAGTTGTTATAAAGTGTAATCGTAGAGCGCTTGCTGTAAACTATGACCTCGAGAGAGCGCGTACGTCAAGTGTTCTCCAAACGTCAGAAGTTTCATAGCTTTGCTCTCAGAGCAAGATTCTGAAGAAGAAAAAAAGAGAAACAGAAGAGCAGCAAGGCACTTGGATATGAACGCTAAACTTTGCTTAACATCGTGTAGTAGAACGGACAGAGGTAAAATAAATAAGAATAAATTCATATTGTCTTGTTAGAGTGAAATGAAGTCAGAGGCTGCATATTAGAGAATGTACTAATAAAGAACAATGAGTTGTGATGTTTAACAAGTTGGAGTGAGCTCACATGAAGGAAGGGAAGTCAAGGTTGGTACAAGGGAAGCGGTTTATTAGAAGGGTGTGTATATAGAGTGTGAAGTGTTAAGAATACTAATGACTATATCTTTTGTTATCTAACTTTTTTCTTTTTTTTTCTCTGTCCGATGCCAGCCACACAATCCTAGTGTAAAAGTCCGAGTTAGCATGTTATAGGTTGTCTTAGTAGAATAGCTAATCCAGCATAATATTGGAAACATGAGTCTGAGTGGTGAGCGTAGGAAGACAATCTATATCACAAATTAGTTGACTTATTCTCAATCATGAGGAATCTGATACATACAAAATGTTCTGTCTCCACAAACACGGTGGATTGAAGTTATCGTCCTCACCATCACTGCTTGCTGGTCAGTAACTCCACACTCCCTCCTTTTGTGATGTTAGGCTCATTTAGGCTTGTTTTTGTATATACGTCATACCTCACACAATCCTCAGTTTCACAACCTGTTGGAAAGCACTATTTCTATAAGTACCATTTTACAAGCTTATCAGGCAGTTACAAGGTATGGACTGTGGGTCAGGCATCGATGCAGTGCTTTAATTGACTATAGTATAAACTAAGAAAAATAAGGCAAACTGAACTTGAAGTCCATTTTGGTCTAGACATGGAGAGAGCCTATGATGTCTGAGTGGGACACAGATGTGTTCGTCCGTGCTAGATCAGTGCAAGTGAGGGCTTGATCAAGCAGTCTTACAAACGTATGTAATTTATCTGCCATGCGTATTTCGGACGGAAGACTGTTCCATATTGCGTGCTTGATGAGGAGGAAGTTTTCCCGAGTTCTTGATCTGTATTCTTCAATTTTGACGGTAGATACTTTGTTTCGAGTTCGTGAGTAGTTTGAAGTAAGGAATCAAATTAAGCCTAAGCCTTCTCTCCCGAAGGGTTGCTATTCCTAAGATTTGACATCGGGAACTGTAGTCAATGACTCAGTCAGTCTTAAGTATTCTGCGGGTGAAGCCTCGTTGTATTCCTTCCACCTTCAGTATATCAGGTAGGCGTAGGTTGGAAAATAAGAACGAGCAGTATTCAACAATAGGTCTTACACAAACATTGTAAAGAAGGATTCTAGATTCATTTTGATAGAAATTACGGAGAATGAAGCCAAGCAATTTCTGCATTTTGGATGCTTTGGCTGAGATGTGTTCAGAGAAATTAAGACTGTGTGAGTAATGTACCCCTAGGTCAGTTACTGATACCAGTCTGGGCAGTGTGTGATTGCTAAGGGTTAGTTTCATTTTAAGAGACGTGTCTCGTATACATAACCAGCCGCATTTCTCTATGTTGAGCTCTAACCTCCAGTGTTTGCACCAGTCATCTACCATGTTGAGTTCATGTTGGATTGTTTGCATAGTACTGCGTAAATCGCAAATGCCAGTTTTATAGATGACTTTTAAGTCATCAGCATAGAGGTAGGTCTTACCTGTGCTAAAACACTTGCATATATTGTTGATGTAGATTATAAAGAGCAATGGACCCAAGACACTACCCTGCACAACACCACTGGTTATCGGTCGAGGTGTAGATGTATTAGAGTTAATCTTGGTTATTTGATATCTGTTCGTAAGAAAAGACTTGATCCATTGCAAAAGGGGATTTATAATTCCAACTGACTTCAGTCTGTTGATTAGGAGATTATGAGGTACTTTATCAAAGGCTTTCTTAATATCGAAGTATAGTATAATAACTAGTTTCTCCTGGTCACGTATACGAGTAACCTCGTTAAAGAAGTCTATCAGGCATGTACTGCACGACCTTGTTCTAATGAAGCCGTGTTGTGACGGGTCTATTAGATCTTCCTTGAGTAGGTGATCAGATAGTTGATTTTGTATCACTTTTTCCATTATGCGTGATATGACTGGAGTGATATTTATAGGTCTGTAGTTTTCAACCAGGTTTCTCGGTCCGGATTTGTGTTTGGGAAGAACATACGTTACCTTCCAGGTTTCTGGATATGTACCTGTCTATAAAGATAATGTGTATATTTTGAGCAGTAGCGTCTGTATGTACGGCCCTGACATTTTATAAACGATTGAAGGGATGTCATTGGCACCAGAACTCGCATTTGGCTTAAGGGTTTTAATGGCGGTATGTATACTCCTAATGTCGAAGTTTATGGTACTAAGATAGTTTTTGCCGGTGCACTTTATGTCGATATCTGGAGCATCAGATGTATTCCCATAGTGAGAAAACCATTCACTTAATAGTTCACATATGACGGTTTGGTCATTATACGTCACTCCATCGTGCAGTGAGGAGTGAATGTTGTGATCTGTGTTCTTTCTTATGCGTTTCGTGAGGAGACGACGTAGGGCTTGATCTTTAGATGCAGATGCGAGCGCAGTACGTTCCTCTACCTGTTTATGCTTGTTGTGTTGACTTTGTACTCCGTCAAGTACAGAGTATATCTGGTGCAGGGCACTGAAGTCTTTTGATATATAGTACATCCTTTTCAGTTTTCGCAGTTTAGACCTAGTCTTTTGGTTTATATAGGGAGTAACTGTTTTAAAACCAATTTTAGAGAGTATAGTAGTGTCTAGTGCAGATTTGGTGGTGATATTGAATATTTCTAATGTTTCTAAGAGGTTATTACTGGTAAAGAAACTGCCCCAGTCAGAGTGCTTTATTAGAAATCGAAAGTTTTCCCAGTCAGCGTTTGCATAGTCTCTATATTGGAATCGCGTGTTTAATGTCTTTAATTTGTTGCATATGGCAAGAATCGGAAGGGTGCAGAGGACTACTTTTTGATCGCTGTTGTGAAACCTTTCGCTAACCACCATTGATGTTGGTGTGACATTATGACAGAATATCAAGTCAAGATTGTTGTGATTTCGTGTAGGCCGTGTATGTCTAAGGACCTAAGTATGCTTTCAAAGCATAATGGGCCAGAATGGATTTTCCAGTTGATAGTGGGAAGGTTGAAGTCACCACACACAATTTTGTAAGTGAAGTCAAGCAAGGCAGCCTGAGCAAATGACTAACTTATAATAGTGTCAGTTAAACTAGGAGTGTTAGGAGCTCGATATATGCATCCGATTAGTATTTTACACTCATGAGTGTGCACAGTAACCCATATCTATTCAGGAAGTTTGCTGAGGACGTGGTCGCTATAGATTTCCGCTCTCAAATGTTTTGATACATAAACGGGACAACCACCACCCTTCTTGGTGACTCGATCACAGCGGAAGAGCTCATAGGTGTCTATTTGTAGATATGTGTCTGTGGTATCGGAGGACAGCCAACTTTCCGTTATCAAAACAAGTGAGGGGTTGTTTAGAAGTAATGGGGTGTGTAGGTAAGTCATCTTACTTTGTACAGATCGAGCGTTGATTAACATAAGTGTCAGGTACGGTGAATGTTTGTCTAGTAGAAGGGTATGTTGTAAACTCAGTGGTTTGTCTGTTTTGCCATGAGAAAAGGAAGAATTGGGAGCGTTGACTCCATATTGATGAGCGTTTAGTTTATTACCAGTAGGGTTAATGCAAGAAGGGTAGTCGGGTGTGGTTTTGGTGAAAGAAGTATGTCTAAGAG